AATTAAAAGAATTTGCATAATTTGGTTGATGTCCTAATAAAATTAAAGGCTGACATCACCGCCGTCCAAGAAGTGCAATGGACGGGACAAGAACGAAAGCGAGTAGGGTCTTGTGCCATTTACTATAGCGGCCATATAAAGGAGCGCCAATTTAGTGTCAGATTCGTGGTGAGAGAGGGATTCCGTACTGGCTTTCACTCCGGTGGATCAACGTCTTACAACAATCCGCATCAAAACGAAATTTATCAAAACAATGTTGACTTGTGCCCATGCCACGATGGAAAAAAACGACGATGTGACAAAGGATTTCTTTAATAAGCGCACTAACCACTACGCTGTGCTTGGCGACTACAACGATAGGGTAGGTAAAGAGGATATCTTTGGCATAATTGTCGGAAAATTCAGCCTAAACAATGAAACGTCTGCAAGTGGGTTGTGGCTGATCGACTTCGCCGGAGCACGAAATATGGTTGTCTTCAGTACTCGATTCCAGCATAAGAAAATTAATCAGTGTACTTATTTGTCGAAAAACCCAAACCAGATCGATCATGTTGTGATAGACGGATTACATGTCTCCAGTGCTTCTGACGTGCGTACACTCCGAGGACCTAACATCGACTCCGAGCAACCCTCAACAATAACAAAAGCGTTTCGAAGTCAAAAAGCTGTAACCACAACAGACAGCCGAACGGGTTTCTACTCGACTTGCACTCCCTCTCTCGGAGAGCACATGATCCAAAACTCGATATAAGAAAACTTTGATGCGAACAGCTTCAAACGAAATAATTGGTTATTGAAAAGGTCGCAAAACAGATGGTACAATGTGGACTGTCGTACAGTAGTGAAGAGAAAGCAAGCTACATACCAGGCAACGTTGTGAGGATGGGATAGAGCTAAAGGGGGAACCAAGACTCATTTTCAGGAAAAAAGAAAGAGGCCAGAATGCGTGAGTATAAAGACCTTGAGAAGCTGGCCGATAGGTTTAATGCTTATTCTACAAAAAAATACGTCGACTTTCAACGAACAGAGCAAACTCTTGTAAGACCCACGTGGGTGATCTAATTACGGATGCCTTGAGTATACTAAAAAAATTATTTATTTTTATTATGTAAATATCAAGAACCTCCCACTATATAAATATATATAATATGACGGAGTTGGTTCGGTGTTGTCAACGGCTGTCATGACCTTGTATTCTATAAAGCTTGTTCAAAGCATTATAATTGTATTGCATTTCTTTCCAAATAAAAAAATATTCTTGTAAAAAGGATTTTGTTTTTGGCGTTTACAGGTCCTTACGAAAAATAATTAATACCAAGTAAAATTATGAGAAACAGGATATGAGAAATAATTTCACCTTTGACAAAAGTACGGCTATCCTTCTGATGAAATCTATTTCTCTATCAGGCGTTTCTAAGTGAATGATTTTTTTCGTTGAAATAAATGCAGTTATTTTTTTTTTCAGTCGCGGATTTTTATCCTGGGGCAAACAATAATTTAACTTCTTATTAAAGTTCACTTTGTGGTACACAGTTCATAATACAAAATTCGTTCGGTTTTTTATTGATTTTTCAAAATATGATAACTTTGTGTACATTTGTGACATTTAAGTTAAATATGAGCCGTTTTGTTCGTAAACTTGTTGCCAACGAGATGCCAACTTCATTATACCCCTATTGGTGCCAGGTACGGACTATAAGGTGAGTGCGTTAGGGCTTCCCATCCGAGCTCCTGGGCCTTCTGGCGCGTCGCCAAAGACGTGTATGGCCTGGCGATGTCCTGATAGAACACAATTCGGCCTCTGTTGATCAAAGATGGTCTTCTCTGGATGAGTGTTGCCTTCAAGAGGTCCATTTGTTGTCAGTAGAGGGCCGAAGTAAGCGTTTGGGGAGCAAATGATTCCTTTCCAATCCCACCAAACACACACCAAAACCTGGTGCATCTTTGACATCGAAATTATGGAAGCGGAACCTGCAAACCACTTTTGTGCTACACGTTCGCTTGCAGTATCGGGCCCATAAACTAAACTAATTTTTTCAGCCTCTTTGGCGGCTTTTTCGCCTTGATCGAAGACAAATTGTAAAATATAGCGAATTTTTTCTCTACTGGTGTCCCTCTTTGACGAGCGCTCACAACGTACTGAGTTAATCAATCGAAAAACTGGCAGAGAAAACATTTAGCACGAAAACTTGACCTAATATATTACAAAAAAGAAAATTATACTTTGAATAGAGGAAAAAAAACAAACAAATTAAAAAAAGTAATTTTTTCCATTCAAAATAATGATAAATGAAATCAAAATCGAAACTAAAATCATGGGTTTGAGTCTTGGCTAAAAATCGAGTGACTGGAGAAAACTTGAAAGCAGATTGGACATCACCTGCTAGGGGCTGCCATAATATATTTGGCTGCAACGGTGGCTGTGCCATCGGCTAGATAATTATATTGAAATTATTTTAATTATATATACAATTTATGCTAGAATATGAATGGAAATTAACTTATTTGAAAATGTTGCTTATTATACCTACAAGATCTTATGTTTCTGATCCATAAGAAGCTATAATTCTTTCATTTTTACAGCAGCCCGGAGCCGGATGTGTTCATATTGCTTTGTACTTAAGGCACTCAACCAGATCGACACTTTTAGAAAAGTGATTCTCTTTTTACATTCTTCGATACATTCGAAAAAACTTGAAACTTTTTTTATCGTATTCAGGCATAAAGTGTTCCTCGATAAAGTGTTTTCGATCGGATTAAAATTGTAGGTTTGGCATTGAAAATACCGTCAGATTTTGAAGTTAAATCTTAAATTTTTTGACAGTCCTCTTTTTTTGTCTTTTCAAACTTCAGGTACCCCGAAGTCAGAATCATGACAGCAAAATGAGAACACGTTTTTTTCCCTCGCGGGATAGCGCTTATGTCGTCAAGTATGCAAGATGGGTTTTTGAAAAAAAGTCCTTATAGGCAAATATAAGGTGGTCAAATATCTCCCTCCGCTTTTTTGCTCTTCATTCAATGCTTTATAAAAAGTGTTACAGTGATCGGATTTAGTTAAAATATGCGCCGTTTTGATCGATGAAGCCCCCCTCCTTATTTGCGAAGAATTCGGACAGCCACTTTTCACAAGCCTCTTTTGAGTCCAACTTCACACCACCAAGGGCATTTGTCATGGACAGGAACAGGTGGTAATCACTTGGCGCTACGTCCAGGCTATATGGTGGATGCGATAAAACCTCCCATCCGAGCCCCCGTAGCTTCTGATGAGTCATCAACGAAGTGTGTGGTCTGGCGTTGTCCTGGTGGAACACTACAGCCTTCTTGTTGGCCAATTCTGGACGCTTATGGTCGATCGCCTGCTTCAAGCGGTCCAGGTGTTCGCAGTAGATGGTAGAATTAAGCGTCTGGCCATATAGGAGCAGCTCATAGTGTATGATTCCCTTCCAATCCCACCAAACACACAGCAAAACTTTCCTGGCCGTCAATCCCGGCTTGGCCACTGTTTGGGACGATTCACTGGCCTTCGACCACGACCGTTTTCGCTTGATATTGTCGTATGTGATCCATTTTTCGTCGCCAGTCACCATCCGCTTCAAGAATGGGTCGAGTTCGTTCCGTTTCAGCAGCATATCTCAGGCGTTGATTCGGTCCAGAAGATTTTTTTGCGTTAAATTATGCACCCAAACATCAAACTTTTTTTTTATCCAGCCTTCTGCAGATGGTTCAAAATGGTTTGGTGACTAACTTCCATCTCCTGGGCGATGTCACGAGATGCCATATGCCGGTCTAACTCGATGTATTCCATGATTTGATCGGTATTTGTCGTCACAGGTCTTCCGCCGGCTGGCTTATCCATGGTGTCGTTTTCACCGGCTCTGAATCGTCGAAACCATTCCTCCGCGGTTCGAAGTGATAGAGTACCATCCCCCAAAACACCATTAATCTCACGAAACGTTTCTCTAGCGGATTTGCCTTTAACGAAGGAAAACTTTAACTTTAGTGAACTCCATGTTTACACGTCTATAACTGTTGAACGCAATATCCAAACTAATCATGCATAGCGTTGTTTTGTAGATTATGTCAAGACCTTTCAAATTATGGAAGGGAGATATTTGACAACCTTATATAACCTTGATGCTGTAAAAAGTTCAATGGAAAAGTTTGCTAAAAAAAACTCCAAAAATCTATTTTTCCTCTTCCACTGGTTGAGTTCCTTAAGACTTCAAAGTGTCAGAGAAGCTGGGCCAAAAATGGGTTTAATTTTTTCTTCTAACATCCTAATGCGCACTTAAGCAAATAGTTTATGAGTTTTCCATAATACATCAGATAGGGGCCCTAATCAATGCCATTATTTATGATTGCGTTTATTATTTATTGGCCATAATATAGTTCCGAGCTTATAGTGAATAACAGTACCAGTTAAAAGTCAAAGCCCAACTGGTTGCTTTTTGCAATTTATATTGGTGTACAGAAATTGAAAAAACTGGTATGTACATATATGTATTTGATCTCTCAAAGATCTATACAAATAGGCACGTACATTTTGCGATCATAAAACGATAAATTGCTATAATTTCCTTTAACTAGATTTTGTTCTTGGTTTTGTATAACGAAAAATTCAAATTATTCAATGGTTAGGTAGTGAGTAAGACTTAATGAATTTATAGGGCTCTTATTAAGATAATTTTCATTCCGTGTGTTCGAATTGTGATCAGAGTTAATTATATAATTTACATACATACGTCAATAAAATATTATTTTGCACATTTTTGAAATTAATTTACTGCTAGTTTAAGCTAAATTAAAAAAAAAAAAAACTTAAGAAACAGAACTTACAATAAAAACATTTTTTGTCTACTTAATAAATTAATACGATTTTCTATTTTAAAATAAATTTTTATTTAAAATTTTTTTACATTTTTTTTTTTAATTTTGTTTTAATTATTAATATTTTACATTTTTTATACAAATGATAAATAGATTGTTATTTTTTAATAATTATTTACAAACACATAAATACATAAATACATTTAGAATATTGTACATTTATTAAGCTAACAATCTAAAAGTAACACGCTAAAACAATTGCAAGCGTTGCGAATAGCGTGATGAATGAAGCACTGAGTCCAGCAGCATTGCCTCCAGTATTGTTTTCGGCAGCAAATTTACTGACCCAGGACATGATCGGTTCGCGATTACTGCTCAGCCAATCAAAGTTCTGTTTAATAGAGCTCTTTACGACCTCCTCCAAATTGGTTTGCACTTTGTCGCTGTCTTTTACGAGGTCCACCAATTCCAAATACTAAAAAGAGTAAAAATCAAAAAAATATGAAGTTGAAATTGTGTTTTACGATAGGTTACAAGGAGCTAGCGAGAAAGTGTACAATCCTAACCAGGGTAAACGCTGCAAACAATGCGGACATACTTCTTTTCTCTGCTTTATATGTACCTGCTAAGATCGACCTTCACCTGCAAGGCCCATTACAGGTGGCTGGATGAAACTACATACAATGTAACTTGTCACTGATCTATACAAAACGTACCATATCTGTACTTTCTTTAAAAAAAAACCTCTGTTAGCATACCAGTCGGTAGAGCATTAGCTCTGCCACTGCCGCGCCCTAAGAGCAGCCCGACATCGTACCATAGGTAATTTCTACTTTGACTCTCTTACAGCTGTAGCATTAGCAAGTGTCAATAATCGTGTGTGTTTCATTAAAGAAACCAGGTAGTCTCAGGTAAGAAGAATCTCTTCTGTAGACTTAGAAATATCCAACAAGCGTGCCAACAAGCCTGAGTGCTTAAAAAATACTTACTATGATAATTTTCGTGTGAAGTTTTCAAAAAATATAACATACAGAGATCTCTCGAAGTTTTTAAAAGACTAGTTAACACTATATACATATATATAAAATAAGCGCTTTGGAACCGCTGAAGCGATTTTTGACCGAGCTCCTCCTAAAATTTGTGGTTTTGCGTCTTGATGTTTTCCCAACAAATAGAGGGACCTACAGTTCATACTAAGCCGCCTCCGTACAGCTGGTGGTTTTTTTATGAGGAGACATTATTTCATGTCCCAAATACTCTTGGAGGGGTGGATATTCCCTGCCGAGGGTGACCGCAATTAGAAAATTTAACTTAATTTTTTATTTAAATTAATTTTCTATAACTTTTGGATGTTAGTACGACACCAGGATTTAAACCCGAGCAATACTAACCACTCTATACGATATACCTATATTTATTAAATACTAAATGTCATTTGACAGCTACTCACTTTAGTTTCTTGCTCCGTATTGACCACATAGCTTGCAATACCCAGCATTGCATCATTAAGTGGATTATCTCCTCCGAAACCGGGCGTCAAATTACTATATGCCAACCAGTTCTCCTTGAGGAAATCAATACACACCAACAGGCCAACACTATTTCTGGAATATGCTGCACTAAGCAAGGTGATGCGCTCCTGTGTACGCCATTCGGCAGCCGGATCAATGGAGCTTTCTACGAATTTCTTCAATTGTGATTCCGTCCTTGAGCAACCCAAGGAGGAGACCAATGTACGACGCAAGGCTTGATCATCTGATGCCATAAGTTCGTTGTATACATAAGTAAATTCATCATCACCAGATTGGACTAGGCCATTGCAATAGATGACGCTCTGTAGATTTGGCTCGATTGACACACCATCGCTTATAAGCGCTTTCAATTTGTTGTTACTTTCCTCAAGACAACTCTCAATGCCGGCCAAGCAGGCAAGATTAATGACGACATTTCGTGTGAATTTCGTAAGGTGCTGTTCGCCGGATACATCGTTTACGCCCAACTTCTCGTAGATGTTTGTAACGAGAGCGGCGATAAAGAATTGGAATTTAGCGTAGTCCTCATCGCCGTTAAGATATCTGTTAAATGTCGAGATGACAGAGTAAGCAGTGGTCCATGGTGCATATTGGTCTTCATTTGTTAGATATTGCAACAAGTTCAAGTAGACCGAGTGGCTGAGGCGTCCAGTGGAGCTGAATTTGTAAGCATCAAAAATCAGTTGGGCACGATTACGTGGATGGAATTTGTATGGCTGTGTCTTTAAAGCGCTAGCAAGAAGCTCCCAATTTTTATCATCATAATTAATGCGATAGAAACCGGTGGACTGTTTGTTGAGTAATAGCCAATCGTCAGCATCTAAATCCTCATCGCGTACAACAATTTCATCGACATTGAGTAGAAAATGTGTGGCGGTGGTATTGCGATGATCGGGTTTTGACTTATGTGCGTAATTGAAGGGAATATACCAAGATTTGTCCGATGCCTTTGAGTTATCCTCGTAGAAGGCCGTCTGCTTCACGGTGAATGATTTGTTGTCGTAATTACGCGTTACTGTTAATAAGGGATAACCCGACTGTTGGGACCAACTTGAGAACATTTGATGCATGGTGGCTGGAATTGCCACGTTGAGAGCACCCGCAGCAATGCCGAGTGATTCGAAAAGGTCCCACTCCTCTGCGGCGCTAAATTGTCTGGAAGATTTTAAAATAATTACAGTTATTGGGAAGTAATAAGCTGAGCTCACAAAATTTTAAATCCAATTTTAAACATTGACCCTGTTGACATTATACCAATGAATGCGCATAAATACTGATTTGGACTCTGTGGCTTGAGAGAGCTTTTACAAACCGCTATCCACCTATCTATCTAAAGCAAACTTGGTTCGACAACAGAATTGTTGTACGGCTGAAAATGAGACTATCTGCTCCCAAAGGTAGAGAGGAGAGAATTAAGGTAGATGAACTTGGGAGATTCTAATGAAAGGGAGAATATTTTTTTTTAAACTACCGCTATTCTAACAAGTCACTGTCTGATGTAACCGCATAAAAGCTGGACCAACTTTTCGTAAGGAGTTCTGGAAGCTATAGGATTAATGTTGAAGTTCAGACGATTTCTCATCTGACTGGTTACTGCCTGATGAGTACATTCAGTCAAATTGAAATTCCAGTTAGACCCATACTGGAAACTGCTCTGCTTTAGCGGGAATAAGGTTAAAATGCATTGGTTGCTAGATATTTGAGAAACCCTGCCCCTGTCTGCATCAACTTCTCCTATGATTTCCACCTAGTAGTGTGACAAAGAAAATATAATAAAATTGCCTCGATGGGTCACCTCTATTCTAGTCGAACTTATATACTAATTGGCGTTTTATAACCGGTGAAGCGATTTTCGTCTGAGCTTCTCCTTGAATTTGTGGCTTGCGTCTTTATGTTTCTCCCACAAATGGAGGGACCTACAGTTTAATACAAGCCGCCTCCGAACGACTGATGGATTTTTATGAAGTTGCCCGGCCAGGAGCAATCGTAATCATATATAATTTTAAATGTTGTTCAGACCAAGTCTCGAACTCTGGCCATCCGAATGTACTACGCAATGTTGACCACTCTACTACTGCGACTACTGCCGAACCGAACTTAATAACCAATCAATTAACAAACGCAAAGTACAGAGTTTTTACTTACTTTGAAGTCAGATAAAGATTCAATCCTAAGCGGAAGACCTCGTCGGTAAAAGCATTTTGAAACATGTACAATACGGATCCTGCTTTTGAATATGAGATCGAGTCGTAGCGCAACGAAATTTCACTTGGTGTTTGAACGTAATGTGTCATTGGATTCCTTTGGCCTGTGCCATCAGCAGTGAGTGCTGTTTGGTAGTCACCTGTGAGGAACATTTGATAGACGTCCCATTCGGGGTAGGCCTAAAACATGAAAAGGGCAGAAAAGCCAAGTAAAGTAAAAATAATTTCAAATAAAAATCTCTTTACAGACAGCATACAACACACAAGTACTTACAGCATCAGTTGCCTGCCAGGAGAACAGTGTTGCGAAACCTTCCTTGAGCCAAAGGTACGTCCACCATTTAATGGCTACCAAATTGCCAAACCACTGATGACAGTATTCGTGAGCTATGATAGTGGCGATATTGGTCTGTGTATTGGTCGTTGAATTGGTATTGTACAACATATACTGTTCACGATATGTAGCCAAACCCCAGTTTTCCATGGCACCAGCAGCAAAATCGGGCACGCCAACTTGATAGATTTTCGGCAATGAAAAATTCACTCCATAATAGTCTTCCAGACGTTGCAGCAACAGTAAACCGGAAACCAATGCGAATTCTTGGTACTGCACGGTACCCGGACGCGTGTAGATACGCTGTGGGCGTGCACTTAGCACACCCTCGGTATATTCAAAATCGGATACGATAAATGCTACCAAATAGGTTGGCATAATGACGGTTTTTTCGAAAACGGAGTAACCGGGCCTTTGTGTGATGTCAAATATTTTAATTGTGGAAAATTTTAAAAATTACTTTGATTTCCAATACTTACGAGGAGTTTACTTCATCTAGTGGCATATTGGATATTGCACTGTAGGAAGCATCGTGATTAATCGCAATACTAAATGTAGCACGTTTGGCTGGCTCATCGTAGCAAGGGAAAGCATGCCGGGCATCGGTTGACTCGAATTGTGTCGTTGCTAAATAGCTAGATTCAACAAAAAATGCAAAAAAAAAAAAAAAAAAAAATAGTTGTAAGAATACCAGCCCTAAAATGTACTAACTAAAGCAATCAAAGTCACGCTTACCGCTCCCTGCCAGTGGAATCTGTATAGGTCGATAAGTAGAAACCACCATTATCCGTACGTAGTACTCCTTCATAAGAAATGGTTAGAACCCACTCGCTGTCTGCCAAAAAGTTCAGCGACGTATTTGTTGGTGTTAAGCTCAGAAATTCTCGTTCTTCTTCATAGGATGTTGTCAAAACTTCTTCAGTTTCACTCGTAGCGTTTCTAATGGTAGCAATATACCCGGTCAACTGACGTGCATGCAATACTATTGTTCTTGTATCTTCGACAACTCTCAGTTGTATTTTGACAGTACCCGTAAATTTTGTCGTACCATTATGAACATTCGTAGTCAATTCAATGTCGTAGTGAATTGGTTCTGTTGTGTTCGGTAGACGATAGTCCAAGACAGCGCGCGATACACCGTTATTAACGACTCTGCCATCGATTAAACGCGCCGAAGGATTCTCCCCGTTCAATGGCGGAATATGGTGTGTACCCGCCTCACCGTATCCGATAATGGTCAATGCGACCAAAATCACCGAACACACTTTCACTATGCCGCGATACATTTCACGTTCTTAGCGGTCGCAGCTCAATTGACGAAATGTTCGGACCCAGTATGAGGAGTAGACTTTTAAACATAGTCGATTAGGTGGAAATTGTTATCATCAAATAAAAGGTAGAAAGGTAGATTATGTAGATGTGTACAGTTTATGGCCAACAATTTGATTATGAATGCCTCTAGATATCAATAGTTTAATGAATTGAGTGTGTAGATGTGATACTTCTCGATATATACATACATATATATGTATATATTATGTACTTGCAAACACAAGTATGTAATAAATAACAATAATGACACTGTTATGCAAAAAAAAAAAAAATAAATTCTTTCTTAAAACTTTCATGAATGACTTCCCGATGGATTTTGCTTTAAATTGGTAATTTATCAAGCATATTTGAGTAAATTCGGCACATGGTTACTTGTTTGATGTGGTTGCCGGGCATCGGCTCACCAGGGGTTCAAGCAGGCCCACTGCAAATACCACTGCGGATCCCAATGAATCACATCCGTTTATGGTGTTCGAAAAACTGAGCAGTCGCCGCATCTCAGCTTCCGCTGTCTCGCTCCACTCTCGAAAGTTTGCCTGGAGACTTCAAACTACTCCTCCAAAAGGCGTGGCATTCGCAGAGAATGTGCCTTAAGGTTTCAGATTCTTTTTCTTATCTGCAACTTCTGCAGAAGTCGTTAGATAGTACTTATTAGCTGCAGATATCTCCTTTCTTTTTAGCTCGATAAGGTCAAGTGTTCGTATTCAGTTCTATTATGGCCATATATTTCTACTCACATTACACGCATTAAGTTTTTTCCATCTTGAGTTAGCATTTCTAATGAATAATTTTTAAATTTTGCGCTTATAAATGGAGAGCGGCATGTCCAAAATTTTCCATGTTGGCAAAAGTGGAAGGGAAGTGCTCTTCCTTGACAATCATACCAAGTTCAAAGAGAATTGCTTAGTCATCACGTTAAGTGATATTAAGAGTTACTTCTGATCACCAAAACGAGAGAGTACACGACCTGGAAATGTCTCAAACAAAGGCGACAATTCTGGTGATTAACAAACGCATCTGGTGAATATGTGCTTGATCGCTTAGGATTATTTTGTTCAAAAAACTTGCATCCAATTGTTGATTGTCATTAAACTTTAGTTGTTGTAATAAGTGAATTTTGTAAGCATGGACACACAGATCTTCAGTTAGTATGTGTAATTCTTGAGGTGCCTGGATTGTCACCGACACCCTCACGCACTCCGTTATTGTCATTCGAGCGACTTGCTTTTGGACACCTAGTGTGTTTGGCGTCTCCAACCCTTTCTGTCTCTTGGAATTTTTCAATTAATCTCCTCACAGTTGACGAAGGCAAACACTGTTCCGTCCATAATGAGCACTCGTTGTTCTAAAGAGTAACGCTCCATTTCTACTCTACCTAAGCCGTCAGCTGTGTACATGTTTTTTAGGGTTGTCCACACTTTATGTCACATAAATGGCGGCGAATTGAAATCTTGCGTTCACTTTGGAATATCCTTACAGACAGTGTGCAACACGGAGTAACGAAGTAGTCCTAAAACGCTTGAGATCACCCTGTTCGAAGGCTACCAATCATTTGTGCTAACATATGTCAGAAATGCTTGATGTCATATTATGTCAGCTCGTAGAACGATTTGCCCATCACTTTCTTTCTTTCTAAGGTCGAAATGATAAATGTGATATTTACATTTGTATAAGTGTACGTCATTATTTCTTAGTTTCAATGTGTATTTTCGTCATTCTTGTCGCGCAAGCCGAACACTACTCAGCATTGATGCCGAAGGAAATGAGCTTTGACAAAAATTTCCACTACATATGAACATACAAACATACAAAAATTATTTAGATTCAGTATTTATTCCAATATTTTTAATCACATCAGGTACGTGATTTACATAGCAGAGAAAAGATATAGCAATACGACAATAAATTCGTTTAAAAAAATCTGCAAAATATTGTAAGCAAACCCGCATATCTTTAACAGCGTCATGCGTTGGTGACGCAGCTCCTCAGCTCCACAAAAAAACTGTGCATAGATATTAGTGCTGCCCGAAATCGTGTGAGTATATTAGTAAACCCATCAGCCCGTTCTTGCAGGGCAGTCACTTAAGTTTAAATTTGAGGTTTTTTTTTTCAAAAGCATTTATCTAAAAATAGCGTTTTCGAAATTCGCTCTCATTGTAACTTAAAAACTAATCATCCGATCGACTTGAAATTCTTTTTTTTAACGTACTCAGCATTATGTGAGGCATAAAGTGATCTTCGGATATTTCAATAAGATTAAAATTGTAAATTTTTTGGAAAATCCTGTCAGATTACTAAGCTAAATTTTAACTTATTTTCAAGGCGACACATTTTCGTTTTTAGGTTATATATTTTTATTACCCTAATCGTCACTAAAGGGGTTACATAGGTCTTGAAGACCATAAAAAAGCTTATTTTCTCTAATTTTTTCAAAAGACATTAAATAAAGTATACAATTTATTTTGTTTACATATAAAAGCAAAATATGTGGACAATATTTGATGAAAATTTGAATGAAAAATAGTATAAGTTAAGCCGTTGGCAGTGTCATGAAGTAGACCGTCCACAAGAAAGTGCTTTCGCGATAGTCATCATAACTTTTTCAATTTTTATCTGAAATCAAAAATCCAAATTTTTTCTCGAAGTAGGTGAATTTGCCTTATCCCTGAAGGAAAAAAAATTTAAAAAAATTAAATTAAATTAAAAAATTAAAAAAGTAATTTTTGCATAAAATTAGACCACATATTGGCTTGTAAAATGAGTTGAATTCAAAGATAAAAAAAATCCTTCGTGCAGGGACTACAAAAAAATGCTTAAAAGAAGTGTGGAAAATTTTAACTCGATCGCTTCAATAGTGAGAAGTTTTGACTTCCGACTTTGATAAAGTGGTTTTAAGAAAAACGCGTTTAAAGTTTCGCCATCAGGCAAGCCATGACGAAGACGGCGGGTTATATAACTCTCTAATTTCTACAGTTACGACTCGATCGACTTGAAACTTGGGGAAAATATTCCTGACAGTTTGTACTTTTATACAAATTTTTTGAAGTTTCTAGACCTATGTAACCCCTTAATAGTTCATACGATCCCAGACATTCAATGCAGAAGTTTTCTTTAAAAAAAAAATTCAAAAATCTCATTTTTTTTGCTGCCACATAGTTTGCGCCCCTTAATGAGGAATTTCATTGTAGACCAGTGTGATTGGTATCGGTTATAGTTGTTTCGTTATGCTAATAAAGGCTCGTTGAAGATAATCTTGAAATTAGAAACAGAAAGAGAAACAGCATGTTAACAATAGTCCTAATCAGCCAACAATCTTTAAGCGAGTATATATAATATAAGTACTTATCAAATAATAAAAAAAATACTGGAGTGAGCATACAAGGCGCGCCATCTAATCACATACATATGTACGAGTACGTACTCATACAGATATATGAGTGGTCAGAATTTGTCTTCTGTTTGCCATTTTATCTATATGGCATACTTTTCTGTTTATATGGCACTCGCACTAATGCAAATACACAGAAGATAGGTCTTCACTTTTAATTATAAAAATATACATATATTGTTTATTTATCAAAGTAAATTTATTTGCACATTTTCCTTTATTATTTACATTACAAATTGGTGTTTGATTAAATTATAGTCTATTAAAAACCATTACGTTTGGACTTGTAATTCTTAATGAATTAAAATACTTTATTTTAGCTCTTAATATTTCACCTCTTAATATTTCAGCTCTCAGTATTTTAAAGTTTCGAATTAGCAAATTTTTGTTGTGCACTAAAAATATTCCATCTTTCTTTTCTCTTTATTGATTCGTTAAACGTTTTAAAAACGACTCGGGTCGGCCCGCGTCACTGCTGACAGCCATAAATTTCAAATCGTAGATAATTTCGTCTACCTTGGAACCAATATTAACACCAACAACAGTGTCAGTTTGCAAATCCAATGCAGAAAGACTGCTAAAATTATAATTATGCAATGGACTGAGTAGGCAATTGAAAAGTTAAGGGGCACACCTAGTGTGAAATTTCAAAAAAATCGACCTTTTTTCATTTTTCGGTAGATTACACCTTTAAAAATGACATATCAAATAGTTTTTGAGTTATAGCAATTTAAAGAGCAGCCGTTCGGCAGCTTGAAAGTCTCATTAGCTACGAGTGAAAACTATCATTTTATCTTTAAACGCGTTGTTCTCGAAACAGCATTATCCGAATTCGCTGCAGTGATTACTCAAAACCAAATGATCCGATCACTATTGATCCGTATAATGACCTATCGATTTTTGATCTGATCAAAAAATCGAATTTTGGCAGGCCAAAAACGACCAAAACTTTGGGTAAAATTCGACTATTTTTTTTAAAAACGCCGCCATATTGTAAATTTTTTATTTTTTTTATCGTAGGTCATTTCAAAGACAATATTATCTAGTAGAGATTTTTTTTTTTTAGATTTCATCCACGGAAAAGGCCGGAATAACTGTAGCAGTGAAGGAGCTTTTTTCGCGCCGTTAGAGATCGACTATAACTTAAAAAATATTTAATTTTTTTCTTCAAAAATTTCACTGTATATTCTTGAAACATGTATAAATATATTCTTAAAATTTTGAAATAATAATAAAGTATTTTTTTTTTATAAAAATTCCCAAAAATCACATTTTTTTAGGCCATTGCACTAGGTGTGCCTCTTAAGTCCTCTTTTCAAGAACAAAATCCAAACGCTACAAGCCCTTCATTGTTGTCGATTGACCGATTGGTAAGCATTGCGTACTGCCATTCGGAAGGCCAGGGTTCGAGCCCTGGTCCAAGCAACCTCCAAAAATAATAGAAAATTATTTTAATTAAAAAATTAAGTGAAATTTTCTAATTGTGGTCAGCCCTCGGCGGGGAATGTCAACATACCTGTTTGAGACTATTTCAATTTTTGTATCATTGCTCTAAAGAATTGCAACATGACATTTCAGAAATATTTATTTACCGTCAAACTTTGCCGTTTGATTATAATTCCTC